CACTTTTGTCATTGTGGTAAAGTTTTGTGGCATTGTTTTTCTTTTTTTTGTTTTTTCTTTAATGTTTGTTTATTTTGAGAGAGATCGAGTACATGCTCCCAAGCAGGGGAGGGGCAGAGAGAGGGAGAGAGAGAATCCCAAGCAGGCTCCGAGCTGTCCGTGCAGAGCCCGACGCGGGGCTCAGTCCCACAAGCCATGAGATCATGACCTGAGCCGGAATCCAGTAGGATGCTTAAGCTAAGACTGAGCCACCCAGGGGCCCCTAGATGGTATTTTTATTTTCCTTTTTTCTAAAAAACTTTTTCCATCATCTTGAAGGACCTTACCTTCCTCTCTGCTCCTTTTCTCCTTCGCGGTGCAGCCCGGAAGGTTCCTGTCCTTTCCGTTTCACTTTCCTGAAGGATCGCCACCCTGGGACTGCCTCTGAGCGTGTGCAGGCTGAGTCCCTTCCTTCTGTCCTGCTCTGATCAGAGCTTGAAGAAAACAGTTTCTACTTGGAGTCAGTTGTGTCCGTCGTAGACTGCTTCCAGCACCCCGGCCGGCCCGAAGCCTGCGTCTTCAGCCGGCCCTGCTCCCTTCGCCCTGCTGCCCTGGCCCTGCTCCACTCGGTGGCTTGCCGCTGAGAGCTCACCCGAGGCATTTGGGGAAGGGGTGCGTTTGTTCGGTGCATTTGTTCTTGTCCTTACAGAGCTAGAGGCATGCCGGGGCGGTGTGGGTGTGCGTGTGGGTGTCTGCAGCACCGATACCCCCTCTCCAACTCTCTTTTCTTCCCGTGTTCTGTGTAGTTCTTCCAGAAGTATTCTGTTCTTTTTCCATCTTTAATCCGTTTTCTGCCCCTCGACCGAAGTTAGCATGAAGCCCTTGTCATGGAAGCGCGTAGGTTTTTCTGAAAAATCTAGTTGAACTACGACCTACGGCTTCCCTGACCTCTCGTTTTGGCCCGTGTGGAGTTCAGGCCGGGGGCTGCTAAAGGGAACAACAGCAACAACAACAACATGAACGTCGGCAGAAATTGGGTTGTGCTTGAAGTTCCTGTCTTTCCTGACCTGCGTGCCGTTTCCTTTCCAGAGTCCTCGGGTAGCTGGCCTGTGCTTCCTGGCCAGGTTTCACGAAGATTCCGAGGGGGGCCGAGGATGGCCTGTGTTTACCCCGTCTTACCTGGAGCCAGAGCCAGGAAATAGGTCGTCTGCGTGGTGGAAGCTCTGGACGAGTGTCACGCGGAGCCTCTGCCCGGCCCGTGTGTTGTCTGGGTCTGAGCACTTCCGCTCTGGCTTCTGATCCCTGGTGGCAGCAGGACCCTCGAGGGACCTGAAGCCTCAGTGGCCCGGAACAGGCAGGTCCAGGCTGCTGAGGGAAGGAGTCGGGGACCGGCCTGGACACTCTAACTCTCGTGCCCGTCAAGTGCCGGTCATCGGCCGCCTCCTGAGTTGCGTGCGGCTGAAACAGAAGGCGGCTGGGGCCGGTGTAGACTCTCGATGCCCCAGAGCCTGAGGCCTGCCTGCAGCACCGAGTAAAGTTGGGCCTTGTTGCTGTGCAGGTTGTCCCCATGGCTGCGGATGGGGCGGCCTGCGTTCCTGCGGCCAGGGTGTCACCTTTGCGTGTGTCTCTCCTGAGATTTGGCCTTGGGGGCCCTTCCCCTCCGTGTCAGAACCCCGAGGAGGACGTAGATTATGCAGATGGTTTTCAGATTCTTGTCCCCTTTCTGGAGAGCCACACGGGATGGGTTAGGACGATTCATCTCTCAGGACTCAATGTAAGGGCTTGTGGGAGAACACCCTTAAGTTTTCTTAAGGAAACTTTACCCATTTTCGGAGTCGTTGGGTGAAACGCTCTAGGGCCAAGTCCACTCGCTTGTGACCGTCCCTGTCATACCCTCATGTCTTACAGAAGGCCGGCTGCCGAGAGAGACCGGATTCGCGGGGCCAGGAAGCCAGGCGCTCTCCCAGCTAGCTCCCAGGTAAGCCGCCGTGTCTAGGCCTCAGCAACGTGCGTCCTGTCTCCGGGACTGAGCCCGGGCACAGCGACACTCGGCCCCCTTCCTCCTTCCCGCGAGGACACAACAGTTACGGGGGGGGG